TTTTTTTTTTTTTTTTAGAGCTGTCTTTCGTGGCACTGTTTTCCTGCTATTGATGGCTAGAGAGTGTAAGTGGCTTACGCTTGCAAAGATCTGGTCCAATACATTTCCATATTCTCTCTTCCGGCTTGTGAATGGCAAACGGGCTTATACTTTTCTGTAGTTATTTTTAGCTGACTTTCTTTCACTGGTTTCTGAACCTGATCAACTTTATGGCAAAAATGTTAAAGTTTTAAATTTAGACAATAAAATAAATTCTTCTGGAGCCAGTAGGTGGTGTGCTGGTTAAGGCACTGACTTCCACATGGCCGATCATGGTTCAAGTCCTGGACCTGGAGACTTGACAATCATACCAAGTGCATGTACCTGTGGGCCCCAAATCCCAAGATGAGAGAGGAAAAGAAGGGATTGTGGTGTGGCCATCCCCCCCATGGGAGGTGATTTCTCACTTTTCCTCTCATTGTCTCTCTCTCTCTTTCATGAACACATGCATTCTAAGGCAAAAACCTTTAAGAAATGAATAGACAGGGGATGGCAGATGGTACAGCAATTAAGGTGCTGGACTGCCACATGGCCAACCATGATTTGGGTCCTCGACCTGGCAACTTGCTTTCTCATTTTCCCTCTCTCTCTCTCTCTGGTGAATTAAATAATAATAATAATAATAAAATGAAAATATAATTATTTTAAAAGTAAATAAATAAAGCCTCCATTGCTTGTTGCTAGCACTGATGCAGGCGTTGCTCTGTCTGCCATTAACTCAAGGGCTGTTGGCTGGTGGGTCTCCATTCATGACCACGTCTGAGGTTGCACAGGACGATCATCCACTTGCACCGCGTGACGGTGCTCAGCAGAAGTACGAGGCTGCTGCTGGGGAATGGGATTTTGAGTTAGTTTTGGTTTAATTTTTTCCTCTTCAGGACATTTGCCCTTTACCAGTTATGTGATGAGTCCTATGGGGAAGCCACTATTTACAGGCACCCCCTTGGGGTCAGCAGGTCTCATGGTGGTTAAGGCACTGGATCCCACATGTCTGACTCCGTGGTTTGAGTCTCAGACCCAGTGGCTTGAAAAACATACTGGGTGTGTGTGCACGCATGCCCAAAATCCTGAGAGGAGACTGGAGAAGGGGATGCGGAGTGGCCATCCCCCCGTGGAGGGGGTATCTCACGTTCCCTCTCTGTCTTTCTCCAGCAAGTACCTATGTCCTATGGCGAAAATCTAAAACAAAGCAGGCACCCTCCTTCCCATTTATTGTAATGACCTTTTCAATTATTGTCATTGAGATCTAATTCACCTCTCTCCCTAGCTCCTGGCAACCATTAATCTATTTTCTGTCTCTATGGATTTGCCTATTCTGGACATTGTTTGTTTGTTTATTTTTAATTTCCAGAGGACATGTGCACTCAGCAGAGAGCGAGAGAGAAGTAGAGAGGGAGAGGAATAAGGCACCCCTCAACAGGACGTGGGAACACGGCAATCCTTCCTCCTCCAGTTCTCCATCCTGTCAGGATCTGGGGCACACACGCACCTGGCATGTTTTTCAAGCCACTGGGACTGGGACTTGAACCACAGTCGGCCACATAGACTCCCTTAATTGCTGGGCTATGGGCCCAGCACTGTAAATGTAAATGGAGACATACAACAGGCGCCTCCTTTTTGGACACACCTGGCTTCCTTCACTCAGCACCAAGTGTCCAAGGCTCATTCTCGTTGCATGTATCAGGGCTTCATTTCTCTTATTGCCAAAACACGTTGTGTTGCGTGGCTAGTCCACATTTTGTTTATCCATTCATCAGTTGATGGACATTTGTGTTGCTTCAACTTTTTAACTACTATAAATAATATTTTTTTAGAGGTTTTTGCTATAGGGTGTATGCACTCGCCAGAAAGACAGAGAGACAGAGAGACAGAAAGCGAGAAATCACTCCCCAGGGGGGATGGCCATGCCACAATCACTTCTCCTCCATTCTCCTCTCGGGATCCTGGGCATGCACACACACGTGCCTGGTGTGAGTTTAATCAACCGGGTCCGGGATTCAAACTGTGGTCGACTACATGGGAGTCCAGCGACATAGCCTTTATGCCATCTGCTGGTCCCTATAAATAATACTTTAATGAACATTTCTATACAAGTTTTTACTAATATATGTTTTCATTTCTCTTGGCATGTAACTAGCAGTATAATTTCTGAGTCTTAAGGTAATTCTATTATAGCTTTTCTTTTTTTTCCTAAATTTATTGGCCAGAGGACACATGCCCTTACTAGACAGACAAGGAGAGGGAGAGAGAGAAAGCACAACCCAGTGGGGCATGGGCATGTCACAGTCTGTTCTCTTCCCTTTCTCCGTTCCACTGGGATTTGGGACATGCATACACATACTCAGCATGTTTTCCAAGCTGCAAGTGCAAGGATTTGAACTGCAGTGAGCCATGTAGGACCTGGCTCCCTTAATCATTAGGCCCCAGAGCTGGCCGGGTACATTTAGCTTTTAGGAGAACAGACAAAGCAGCTGCAGCACTTGACATCCTCAGCATGTAGGAGGCTCCACTCTCCCCAGCCTGGCTGACGCTTGTTCACTGTCCATCTTTTGCAGTGTAGTAATTCCAGCGGGTGTATGTGGTGACTCACTGTGGGTTTGATTTGCATTTCCTTCATGACTACTGACGTCAGCCCATTTCCCTGTGCTTATTGGCCATTTGCATATCTTTGGAGAAGTTCTTCATTCGGTTATTTACCCTTTTCTTTCTGAGTTCCGAGAGTACTCTGTGTTCTGAAGATTGCAAATATTTTCTCCTGTTCCATGGGTGTCTTTTCATCTTGAGAGTGCTCTATGATTAGAAGGTTTTTTCAAAATAATTATCTATTTAATTTTACTTATTATTATCATTGTTTTTAATTCACTAGAGAGAGAGAGAGAAAGTGAAAAAGCAAATTGCCAGGTCTGGGACTCAAACCATGGTCAGCCACGTGGGAGCTCAGCCTCTTAACCACCACACCACGTGCAGGTCCCTTGTTTTGTTTTTTGTTTTTAGTTTGCTATAGGACACATGAGCTTACCAGAGAAAGAGGAAGAAAAATAGAAAAGAGATAGAGATAGAGAAAGAGAAAGAGGAGACCAGCAGATGGCATAATGGCTATGTCGCCAAACTCCCACATAGTCTACCGTGGTTTGAGTCCCAGATCCAGTGGCTTAAAACTCACGCCGGGTGCATGTGCGTGCATGCCCAAAATCCCAAGAGGAGACTGGAGGAGAAGAGATTGCAGCGTGGCCTTACCCCCTGGGGGGTGATTTCTCACTTTCTATCTCTCTGCCTCTTTGGTGAGCGCACATGCCCTATAGCAAAAACTTCTCTTAGAAAGAGAAAGAGAAGTGAGAAATCACCCTCCTCCAGGGGTATGGCCATACAGCAATCCCTTCTCTTCCATTCTCCTCTTGGATATGCACACATCTATCTGGAGTGATTTTCAAGGCACTGGGGTCTGGGACTTGAACCATGCTACTGGCCATGTGGGATCCAGCGCCTTAACCTCCATGCCACTTGCTGGCCCCAATTAGAAGTTTTCAATTTCACAAAGTCGTGTTGATCTGTTCTCCTTTGGTTGCTTCTAACGTCCTAGCGCACTTTCGTGCTAGTGTCCCAGTCAGCCAGCTTTCCATCACGCTTCTTGGTCTGGTTCACGCTAGGGCCTTGAGAGCTTGGGAAAATACTATTATGCAAAGTGTTAAAAAGAAAAACTTTAGGGGCCGTGGTTAAAGGCGCTGGACTCCCACATGGCCAACCACAGTTCGAGTCCTGGACCTGGCAGCATGCTTTCTCACTTTCCCTCTCTCTCGGGTCAAATTTAAATGAACAATAATAATAATAATAATAATAATAATAATAATGATAAATGAAGTTCAAATAATTCTTTTTAAAAAAGGAAAGAAAAACTTCAGAGAAAGTTAATTTAACTGAGTTAATCTTAGCACAGAAATATCCATGAGTCAGGCAGCACTCAGAACCACCTAGTTCTGTGGGCGCGAGCTCCTGAGTGCGCAGGAGAGCGAGTCCAGAAATCCTGGTAGGCTGTTGCTGGGCACATGCCTTCTGTGGGCTCGGTGTGATCAGTGGGCTGCCTTGATTGGCTGAAGCTTGACTGTCTGAGATCGCTAAAACCCAACTATTTGTTTTAAGCATATACGCAGACCCTAAGATAGATTCTGGTTTGTTTACTTACTGAGTAAGGCTGAGGTCCAGTACTCAGAACTCAGTACGGAGACAGCCTCAGGCTCCTTGCCTCCTGCTGGTGGAATTGAACATGTGTGTGGGTGTAACTGAGCTCCTTCCTTCTCCTCCAGGAAGGCAAGGAGGGAAGGGAAATGTCCAGACTCCTGAGAGCAGTCTCAGACCCCTCCAGAGCCATGCCATGGGCTGACCGACACCTCTTCCTGTGTGGACTTCCAGAGGACTATCACCACTGTTTGGACCTCTGCTGCAGCATGTCCCCCAAATGAATTCCCTGGGCTGCTCTTCCTGTGAGGCACCTGCAGACAGAGGAACCTGCCAAACCTGTCTGGAAGGTTTACAATACTTGGTTGAAAACAAAGTCTCTAAAAAGTTCTGCAGTACACAAACAAGTCAAAGCCAATGTTCCTCAAAGTATTTGAGCAAGAAACGGTTGCAGAGGCCAACAGGTGGCGCGATGGTTATGGTGTCTGAATCCCACGTGGTCAATTCTGCAGTTCGGGTCCCAGACCCTGCCGCTTAAAAGGCATGCTGGGTGCATGTGTGCGTGTGCCCAAAACCTGGGGAAAAATGGGAGAGAAGGGATTGCGGTGTGGTCGTACCCCCCCACACACAAGGGGTGATTTCTCACCTTCTCTGTCTCTCTCTCTCTTTACCTCCAGCAAGTGCACCTGCCATATAAAAAAATTTTTTTGAAAAGAACATATTACAAACAAGGAATTTAATACTTTTGGAACCAATGCACACTGAGTCAGGAAAGGATGGGCTACCTTAAGAAAATGTAGCGACCTGACACAAAGGAAGTTGGACATTCTCGTCAGAGTGGACAGATGCTGGCACAGTGATCCACATGGGCGGTTCCAGGTTCCCCCTGCAGACCTCCCCAGCACGTGAGGCGTGTGTATAACATGCCCATGATCTGGGGTTGGTTGAGGCTGGCGGAGGATCATAGCATCAAGACTGTGTTGGAGTGTAGTTTCTCTCTCATGGAAATTTTTTTTTTTTTTTTTTAAATTTAGGGACCAGCAGTTGGTGTAATGGCCGTGTCGCCATTACAACTCCCAGTTGACCAGGGTTCGAGTCCCGGACCCTGGTAGCTTAAACTCATGCCAGGTGCGTGTGCGTGCGTGCCCAAGATCCCTAGAGGAGAATGGAGAAGGGATTGCGATGTGGCCATCCCCCTGGGGGGGGAGGGTGATTTCTTGCTTTCTGTCTCTTTTTTCTGATGAAAGCACACGCCCAATAGCAAAAACTTCTCCAAAAACCTTTTTTTTTTTTTTTTAATTAAAAATAAACTTTAAAAATTTATACCAGAGGGGCCAGCAGGTGGCATAGTGGTTAAGGTGCTGGACTCCCACGTAGCCAACCATAGTTCAAGTCCTGGATTTGGCAGCTTGAAAATCATGCTGGGCACGTGTGTGTGTGCCCACAATCCTGAGAGGAGAAGGGGGTGACTTCTCAATTTCCTTCTTTCTGTATCTCTCTCTCTCTCCTCTCTGGTGAGTGCATATGCCTATGATGAAAAACTTCCCATCAGAGGCCAGTGTGAGTCTGGAGGCCCTCCTCCCTCCCACAGCCCCATTGTCAGGGACAGGTGCCTCCAAGCGGCCAGGGGAGGGAGTGATGGGCCTCAGAGGGGAGGCGTGATTGCCTGGGCCCGACATCACCCACACACTCCTGACCACACCCCCTGACCAGAGCCGGTCTCATCTCCCAAGATGAGGCGTGGTCTCTGTGTGTTTTGGAAAAAAAGGTTCGGAGACAGAGTATGATACCGACCAGCCCCTCCTCCTTCTGGAAATGCCGTTTAACTGCCTTATGGAGTTTCAGGAAGGGACGCGTGTCTATCGGCAGGGGGGGCCCTGCCCACACTGCCGCCATTAATTCAGAATTCTCTTCTTTTTCTTTTTTAGATGTTTGTCTTAGGGCACATGCATTTATCAGACAGAGACAGAGAGGGAAAATGAAAAATCACTCCCCCGGGGGGAGAGATGGCCACACCACAACACTTTCTCCTTCATTCGCCCCTCAGGGTTCTGGGTACAATGATGCACACGGGCCCGGCACGTTTTTCAAGCTGCCAGGTCCAGGACTCAAACCTCAGAGTCGGCCCAGTGGGATCCAGCACCTTAACCTCCATACCGTCTGCTGGTTCTGTATTTCTTTCTTAAGTTGATTTATATATTCCTTCCATTAAAGAAAAAGAGAGAGAGTGAGACAGAGAAGACACCACCGGCAGGGCCCTTGTGCCACGGTCCCCCCTCGGCTCAGCTGGCCCAGGTTGCAGGCTTGCGTGCCCTCCAACCTGCTCAGGGAGGTCCCGGGATGAGAATCCAGGACCTTCCCATGTGGGTCTATTTGCATTACTGCTGGACCACTGCCTCCTCTGCTGTTTCTGCAAAACACACAAACCAGCCCAGAGGGACATTTGTAAAATCGCATGCCAGAAACTTTCCGTTTATTTCATCAGACACAGAACTGGACAGAAGCAATTGAGCATATGACTGAAGGTTGCACCACTGAAAACCGGGCCAGTGGGTCCTAGTGTGAGCGTGGCACTGTGTTCCTGCAGAGCCCGGGAGTGCTGGGAAACGGGAACTGCCCTGCTCGGACGGGCAGCTGTATGTGTTACTGTTTAGTGTCTGCACATGCAATAAAGATAAAAAGGACGGAGAAAGAGGAACCCTAGTGGTAAAAACTTGATGTTTTCTTTTTAAAAAATGTTTTATTGGGACCAGCAGTTAGCATAATGGCTATGTCGCTGGACTCCCATGTAGTCGACCGTGGTTCGTGTCCCAGACCCGGTGGCTTAAAACTCACGCAGGGCGCATGTGTGTGTGTGTGCCCAAGATCCCGAGAGGAGAATGGAGGAGAAGGGATTGCAGCGTGGCCATCCCCCCTGGGGGGGGTGATTTCTCACTTTCTGTCTCTCTGGAGAATGCACATGCCCTATAGCAAAAAAAAAAAAAAGAAGACTAAATATCCTAGTACGGAAACAGAAGGGAGTTGAAGTTGAATTTTATGTGAGATGCATTTTCCCAAAGACCCCATTTAATTAAGGAAAATGTTTAATAGCCAGAGGTCACACGCACTGCCCCGGGGAGTGGGGTGGAGTGGGGGAGTAGGGAGTTGGAGAGGTGGAAGGTGGAGAAAGCATCCCCCAGTGGGTGTGGTCACACTGCAATCCCTTCTCCTCCATTTCTCCATCCTGTCGGGATTTGGGACTTGCACACACATGTGCCTGGCATGTTTTTCAAGCCTCTAGGTCCAGAACTTGAACCCATTGGCCATGGGGGCTCTGCCTCCCTTACTGCTAGGCTATGAGGCAGCCCTAAAATGTATTGTTGTTTGTTTTTCCAGAGATTTATTGGTTTTTGGTTTTGAGAGAGATTTTTGCTATAGGGCACGTGTGCTTGCTGGAGGCACAGAGAAACAGAGAAACAGAAAGTGAGGAGTCCAGCGCTTAACTACATTCCCTGCTGCCCCCCCCCCCCCCAAATGTTCTTAAACAGAAAATGAGAGGCCAGCTGGTGGAGAATCACCCCGGCATGTGATTTCACTTTTCCTCTCTCTGTCTCTCTCTCTCTCTCTGTCGAGTGCATGATCCCTATAGCAAAACTAATTTTTAAAAAAGGGAAAACAATTAGAAAAAAATAAAATTAATTCAAAAACATTTCACAGACCATCATTTTTTCATCAGATTAGCCTCAAAGAATATGTTATGTTGGGGTTGTGTTTATACTAAACATGGTTACGTAAACGTTAATTACAGCTGATATTGTGTTTCTGCTTAATTTTAGCAGAAAACATCCTGGGTTTTCCTTAGCTGTACGCCTGCACTTTATGGCCTTGGCGGGCGACACCCGGCCGCTCTCTGCTGCCATCTAGTGGTGATGACTCACATCATGTTGAAAGCGGCCTCTGAAAGGCTGCTCCCTGGCTTGGCCAGAGATGTGGTTTAACTGGTCTTGGGTGCTGCCTGGGCATCCAGACTTTTTACAAAGCTCCTGAGGAGACCAGCAGGTGGTGTGGTGATGAAGATGCTGAACTCCCGCATGGCAGATAGTGGTTTGAGTCCTGGACCTGGCTATTTGGTTTCTCACTTTCTCTCTCTGCGTCTCTCTGGTGAATTGTGTGCCCTGTAGCAAATTTAAAAATAATAATAATGAGAAATAAAAATTTAAAACTAAAAGATCCTCGGATGATTCTAATGTAAAGAGATCCACCATCCTAGAGGAATGAGAGAAACTTACAGTGGTGCAATGAGAAATTCGTTCATTTCTTCATTCACTCAGCTACTATTTAGTAAGCACGTATCTTTCGCCTGCGACTTGAAACTCATTCGGGGCGGATGTGTATGCATGCCCAGAAATCCCAGGAGGAAAATGAAGGAGGAGGGATTGTGACATGGCCATCCCCGCAAGGGGTATCGTTGTCTCTGTCTCTCTCCAGCAAATGCATGCACCCTATGGCAAAAAAGTAAAAAGGAAAAAGAAAAAGTACGTAAGGTCCCTGTGGGTCAGCAGATGGCATGGAGGTTAAAGCAGCTGGATCCCATATGGCCAAGTGAGTGGTTTCGATCCTGGGCCCAACAGCTTGAAAAATCATACCGGGTGTGTGTACTTGCATACCCCAAATCCAGACAGAATGGAGGAGGATTGTGGCGATCCCAGTCACTCGAGGGGTGACTTCTCAATTTCTCTCTTTCTCTGGAGAATACCTGCAGAACATGTGGCCCTAGCAAATATCCGGTGCATGAAAGTCTCCAAGAGGCCTGAAGCAGAATTCCGTATGAGAAAATCCACTGGCTCAGCCACAGCAA